TATGATTTCACTTTCAGTAAACCTGCTTCCTGGATATTGTTTATTGCTACTACTCTTAACGTGTGACATGTGTCAGTGGTAAAATGAGTGTCAGTGAAACAAGAAGCAGATGGGTGGATTCAGGTGACAGCATGTCACAACAGGTTGAAGGTGTCTGACATTTAAACAGAAAGAAATCTGACATTTTAGTTTAGGTGTATGATCTTATAAAGATGAAGGATGGTAGAAAACTGTGTGTGTCATGGTCCTGAGTCTGCCGAATCAGTGTTTTGTGTTTCTTTATGCTTTTGTTTAGTCTGAGTATGTATTCTGTTATGATTTGCCATTTGTTAGGTTTCTGTTCTGTGCCGGCCCTGGTCCCACTTCTGTGTTCTGTCTTTGGTGTCACACTGTCTGTTTGTGAACCTGTCTGTTTAGTTCAGTGCCATGTCTGGTTCTCTGTGTCTGAGTTTCCTGTTTAATTCTGAAGGTCCCCTCATGTGAATGTGTTCAGTTTACGTTTCCCTTGTCCCGTCGGCTCTGATGTCTCCCAGGTGTGTTGCCCTCCTGTCTCTCATCTCCTGATTACTGCTGTGTGTATTTAAGCCCCGTGTGTTCTCCTGTTTGTCTGTGTTCCATGGTGGTTTGTTCCTCTCTCTGCCCCGCACCCAGTTTCGTATGTTCTCAGGTTTGTTATTTAGTTTCCCCAGTTTAGGTTTCTTTAGTCATTTGTCATTCCTCACTGCCTGTTCCATCACCCTATTACTTGTAAATGAACGTCACTTGCATTATCAGTCACCTGCCTGCATTTTGGGTCCTTTTCCCTTCAACACCACACGGCTCGCCTTGACAGCCGTGACAGTGTGTTAAGAACATGCAACACCTTGAGGGAAATCTTCACCATCTTAAGATATCAAATACATAAAAATACCCTTTTTGTTTGGAGGTAGATGAAAATTTTGGCTAGGAGGTATCAATCGGTTCAATAGTGAATATGTGTATTTCCTAAAATGTTACAAGGCTAATTTGAGTGAAAAGCACGATTTACTTTAGATTTAAATGATGCATGAATTGCACATCTTGGATCTTAGGGAAAGCAATTAACTGTCAAATTTATGTTAAATTAACATCAAATTAATAACAAACTCATTTTCTTTGCTTTTGCAGGTACACCTTCTCACCGCTGGAATACATTTATCACGGTCTTTATCATGGTTTTACAACTTCAGTGTTTGTCTGCAACCAGCTAGAAGATGGTTCCTCCAGTTTACCAGCTTTAACCCACATGGCAGCACGATCTGAAATCCCTGTCTTGCTGTTGTTCATACATCATTTGTTCCAGAAGAGTTTTATATAAAAAAAGGAAATTTTTTTTTTGTTTGTTTCCCCTCAACATTTCAAAGCTAGGAGATCACAAATTGGTCAGTTCCCACAGTATAGGGTTCACTTGGAAGAATTGAAGACGATTGATTAAGATATAGAAATTAATGTTTTTGGCCATTAGATGATCCATCAGGGCAGAACAGAATCCCAGCGGGATAGGATTTAGGTCAGGACCCCTCGGAGTCCAGACGCTGGTGGTGGATAAGAGGAAGACTGGGGCTTGCCTCAGCTCAGCTCAGCTGAGGTGGAAATGACGAGGGTGGGTGTTAGATTTGTATTGTTCATTGTCATTTATGCTTAGAAGTATATAATCATTTGTAGATTGAAAGAATGTCTCATCCTAGGAGGTCTGTAACAACTCTGTGTAGCATGAAGAGGGGGGTGCGTTCACTCCTCTACAGAGTGTTCTGGCATAGATCACACACCTCCTAGGAGAGGTCGTATCTTCTCTTGCTGATATATGGTATAGCAAACACACGTATATCTGTTTGAGTGTAAGAGCCTTTTGTTTAGAGGGACCGCTAGACTCCTGGCACCAGCTTTGGGGAGCCTTCATGGGGTCACACTCTGACCCCACATACTTGCACAACGCACAGGCAAGGTACTCTTTGTGTGTATGAAACATCATATGTTAATGAACCTATGCATATTCATGTCACCACAATAAAAGGAGTGCTATGGGGAACCTGGCTGAGAGTCTGACGGAGGTCAAGTGGGTGGAACGACACTTGGCTCCAGGCAGGTCTCCCTCATGCATGAGTAACACGAAGAACTTTGCCTACTAGTGTCTTACTTTTTACTGTGTAGTAAATTGTCTTGAACGTTCCAGCGAATAGGTTTATGCTATGAACCTATCAGCGGGTTGCACGAAAAAGAGTCTGAAAGGGAGAATGACAGAGAGCACAGATTGAAACCATCTGAAGCAGAGGTTGAGGTTGACTAGAGTAATAATATCAGTATTGAACATTATATTTTATACAGAAAAACAGAACACCCAGGAAAGTAGGCATATGAGAGATTACTGACCGTGCTTATTGAACTTAGAGATAAGTATCATTATGATGATGCAGGAAGAACACCAACACGGGGCTATTAGACCAACCATGAACAAAAAATGGCATTTTCCATAAAACCTGCACAACCCTGTTTTTGACAAGGGCCTACTATATGGTGCAGCCTAAAGGCAGAGTTGGGTTGCCGAGGCCAGAATGATTATCAGCCTTCTGCTCACAGGGTGGTGGGTGTTGGAGGACAACTCCTGATCCCAGTTAAAGCAATCAACATGTAAAGAGTACCTGACTTGTAGCATAACTGGCTCTGGCCTTGGAATGTATGTTTTATCCATGTTGCAAGTGGTACACTGGACTGTTTTGTCCTTCATTATTTTATGATTGTACTAATAAAATATATTTTACAATTATTTTGGTTGTCATCTTTTGCCTACAGCTGAAATGGTTGCTCATACCTAGAATCTGTATAGTAAACAAGCAGAAACAAAAAAACAAAACAACATTAGGGGACGTTCAAGTTCATATGCATGTGAAGGCAGACAGCCCCATGAGAGTCTAGTTTAAGAGGCATTCTCAAAGACACATCACACATTATCACATGGCAGCTTCAGGAAATGATAAACACTGCTGAATAAAAATACATGAACTCAGAGTGATTATTTGAGATCAGTTCATTTTTTGGCAACTTTTCAAATGGAAGCGCTGCAATTTCAGATCCATTTCTATGTTATAAATGACCTCAGTCTAATTTTCAGTGAGGGTATGGTGTCATAGGGCCATGCCACTGTACTCTTCCTCTTCATGTTCACATCAGTTCTCCAAAATGCTTCAATAACACTAAATTACCTTGTCAGCAGCATGTCACGGACAGCTGCCACGTCCTCGACCGTCAAAACAAATAAGCTGAAAAGGAAGTTATGGAAAATTACTCAAAACAACTGCATTAAATGTGTCACATTAAAATGACGTATGCTCCTGACTTTACAAAAAATACATGACAGTTGACTTCCCTGGAAAAAGCCTGGTGACTCAGCATTTAGCTCAGGTTGAGTTTATGTGTAGTTCGGAAGTAAAAGTAAGGACTCTGGCAGCATAACAATCAATACCTCTGAGAGTCTTAGACAAGCCCTTTGAAGTCAGTGGGTTTGCAAAAGGATTAGAATAATCAGTCTGTTAAAGTGACAGGTTTCAGACACGGGTCACTTTTTGGTGTACTCCATTTTTGGACATTTTATTATACCTAAAGGGAGCATGGCTCCAGATTCATTTTTAAATTAGACTTCAAACTTCAAGTCTTGCTGCATGAACTGACCCCAAAATCATCCCTTTTGTATGTTGCTTGAGCTCGGGCTGCTGTGAGACCTGGTCTGCACTGGTGGGGACACTAAAAAGGTAGCTATGCAGGGACAGTGCTTCCAAAATGAACGAAACAGGCATGACAGAGGACAAATAATTACACCCAACTTTCATCAAAATGGTCATTCTTTTTTTTCCAACCTATTCAGAATGAAAACATTGCAGTTAACTTTAAAGTTGCTAAGATGTTCAGTAAGATGACATGCAGCAGCAGCAGCTTAGAACTGTAGTGAATTTATGACATGAAAGTTTGGCTGGAGCTCAACAAGGGAGCCAGATTACCCTCACCAGTGGAGAGCTGCGCCACTGCATGATATTACCATTTTTTTTTGACAAAGGAAAACAATTAATCCTTTCTAAGTGAACAAATCACAAAAGTGCTTTTCCTGGGAAAAGCTCTCTGAGTTCCAGGGAACAGGATCGTCAGGGAGACGACACAAAGACATTGTGTCTGTTTCACTTCCCATTTTCATGAGGTATCTTAGAGGTTTTAGTTAAATTGTATTGTAATGGTGTCATGATCCAGGTGAGCACCTGGTGTTTTTCCACTGCCTCCCTGTGCCCTCCTGTGTCTGCCTTGTGGGCCGAGCCTTGATTCTTTACCTGTGCTGCTCACTTGATATCCATTGACGGCAATCAGCGAGGCTGTGCTTAAGACCTGCGCTGTCATCACTTCTCTGCCATTTTTTTTCTTCTTTCACTTCTGCTTATCATACCTTATGCTTTCTCACACTTCACATTGTGTTCTTGTTTCTGTTTGCTCATTTGTTTTTTTCTTTCCATTTAGGCCCTGAGGGCCAGTCACTGCAGATTTCCCACTGTTGTCAAATGCTTTCCTGTAGGGGATTCTCTATGACATTGCTGGGTTTTGAATTGGGATTATGCAGATAAAACTGAATTAAAACAGGACTAAGCCACACTTACACTGATCTTAGATTTCAACAAGATATATAAACAAACTAAGAGTTATAACATGATATTGAGCCTGATTTAAGTTACTATAAACTCTTTGGTCCTTTACTGGCAAGGCAAGGCAAGGCAAATTTATTTGTATAGCACAATTCAACAACAAGGTGATTCAAAGTGCTTTACAGAGACATTAGAAACAAAAACAAATAAAAAGCAAGATTTAAAATTGATTAAAACAAGCAAACAAACAAACAAACTAACTAAACACACACATTTCACACCTGTTCGCGCGATCTGAGCCCTTATCGTAAGGGGAGCTACCAGTCCTTCTGTGGACGAGCTACTTTCTATTTTAAATTCCCTGAATTTAAAATACTCTCTACTGGTTCACAACTCTTTATTGAAAAGCCCAGTCATTAGTTAAAGCATACAGTACATGTGACAAAAAATGTTACGCATGAGCCGAAAGAAAGAAGCCATGACTCATGAGGGTAAAAAGATGTTACTCACAAAAACAGTCAAAGACATTCTTAAATAATAATGGCTGCAACTTCCTTTCACATACTGTACATTTCTCCAAAAGACAACCATAATTTTAATAAGGAAAACAACTTGAGCGGCTGTTTAAATTGACACTAAACTGTAGGAAGGTTTTTCAGATTCACTTATGTTAGGTACATCTCTAGTGCAGTTTAGTTCCTTGAGTCTTTTTCTTCCTTTCTTCCTTATTGCCTCCTTTGTTTGTGTTGTCTTCAAGCCTTGAAGTTCAAGGGTGTGTCTCCCCTCGCGTCCATGCAGGACTCCACACCCTGAACGGGAGAGAAAATATATTCCAATCACTTCTTCTAAATGCTCCACTTACAGTTACTGACTTTATGTCACTAGCATTTTTTTAAAAGTGTTGCCATGGCATCAGACAAGAAGCGAAGTTGCGTAAACAAACTGCATGAATGGTTCATATGACCTTTAGGTAAATTCCAATTTGATTGTCTTAAAAATAGAAGGAGGTTGTATAAGGGTGTGAAGTAAACACCTTTTTTTTTGATTATGTGTTTGCAAACTGGAAGTTTGCTTCTTTTGAATCCTTTTGCCTTGGGAATTGATACTGTTATATAAAAATATAAGAGAAGCTTCCAGGACCTTGTTGAATCTATGCCATGAAGAATTAAGACAGAAAAAGGGGATCTATTAGGTTTGTTAGCAAGATAAACCTAAACTGAATTTGATGTTAGCAAATCACAGCCAGCAATGATTTACTTTAGAGAGATAACTCCTGCTCCTCTCACATACTGCATTGACATGTACTGTAGTACAGCCTTTCACAAAACAGCCACAACCATAGTGTATTTTTTTCTTTTTAAAAAGGAAAATTAAAGAATATAATATGTGTTTAAATATGTGTTTATTAGATGACCTACTGTGTAAGAAACACAATATTTTCTGAAATATCTGAAACATTTTCTGAAATGGAACATTAATTGAAAATGGGCTGAATGTTATGTTTTTGAGAAATATGTAGGACTGCTTTCTTCCATTTGCGCAACATCTCTAAAATTAGAAATATCCTGTCTCAGAGTGACGCTGACAAACTAGTTCGTACATTTATTACTTCCAGGTTGGACTACTGTAATTCATTATTATCAGGAAGTCCTAAAACTCGCTGAAAAGCCTTCAGCTAATCCAAAATGCTGCAGCAAGAGTACTGACAGGGACTAGAAAGAGAGAGCAGATTTCTCCAGTATTGGCTTCCTTCCATTGTCTCCCTGTCAAATCCAGAATTGAATTCAAAATTCAAAGGTCTTAAATAATCAGGCCCCATCTTATCTTAATAACCCTGTAGTATCATATCACCCTATTAGAGCACTTCACTCTCGCCCTGCAGGCCTACTTGTTGTTCCTAGAGTATTTAAAAGTAGAATGGGAGGGAGAGCCTTCAGTTTTCAGGCCCCTCTTCTGCAGTTCCAGCTTACAGTTTGGAATCGGGAAACAGACACTATCTCTGCTTTCAAGATTAGGCTTAAAACATTACTTTTTGCTAAAGCATATAGTTAGGGCTGGACCAGGTTACCCTGAATCCTCCCTTAGTTATGCTGCAATAGGCGTAGGCTGCCGGGGATTCCCATGATGCATTGAGTTTTTCCTTTTCAGTCACCTTTCTCACTCACTGTATGTTAATAGACCTCTCTGCATTGAATCGTACTTGTTATTAATCTCTTTCTCTCTTCCACAGCATGTCTTCCATCCTGTTTTCCTTCTCTCACCCCAACTGGTCGCAGCAGATGGCCCCGCCCCTCCCTGATGCTGGTTCTGCTGGAGGTTTCTTCCTGTTAAAAGGGAGTTTTTCCTTCCTACTGTCGCCAAAGTGCTTGCTCATAGGGGGTCATTTGATTGTTGGGTTTTTCTCTGTATCTATTATTATAGGGTCTATCTTATAATATAAACCGCCTTGAGGTGACTGTTGTTGTGATTTGGTGCTATAAAAATTGAATTGAATTGAACTGAAGGGGTGATGACTCATGATGTGGTGGTTTTGTTTTCAATGGGAATTGTAAAGCTTAGTTTGGAGACTCAAATGAAATACTGACATATCAGTAACATCAGTGGCCTCTCAGTCAAATTGGAATGTCAAAATGGTTTCTGTAGGGTGTCAAGCTACACGTCAAAAGTGACATAAATGAGAACAACAGCTGTGAACAATAAATTGATTTAGATAAAAAGAAACAGAAAATAATCTCATGTTGCTAAACTGTCATAAACTGTTGTCATGGCATCAGATAAACAAACAGACATGTAATGCCTGGGTGACTCATCATTCACCTTATAGTTTGTGTATACTTTGAAGCTTCAAAGTGTGTTTGGAGTCATCTTTGTGTTATGCTGTATTGAACAAATATCTTCTTTCTACACCTACATAACTGAATAGAATGATTTAAGCTGTTATCACGTCTAAGCAAGTCTGATGTAAACAGACTGTTCTTATAAAGCGCTTTTCTACTTTATCTGAGCACTCAAAGTGCTTCAGACAACCATTCACACACATTCACATTGCTTCCTATTTAACATTCACATGCATTCATACTCCAGTGGATGCATTGGATTAGTAACCATGGGGTTAATATCTTGTCCAAGCATATTTGGCATAAATACAGACCGGAGCAGACAGAAGTTGGTGAACTGCTCAACCACCTGAGCTACAGCCACCTTGATGTCAGACTAAACCAGTCCAGCAAGTTTTTAGATTTGTCCCCCATAACTCAGGCATGCCTATTGTCTTTGGGTAACCACACCCCAAACCACAACATAATCCTAAATTAGCGCACTCTTTCTATCTCTTTGTCTCAGGTGCTCAGTTCAAATTGTCCAAATCTTAACAAAAGGATTAGAAATAGTTGCTCTTGGCTTTTAGCACTAAGTAACTTTAGAAAGTAAATGGCCTGTATTTATATAGCGCTTTACTAGTCCCTAAGGACCCCAAAGCGCTTTACATATCCAGTCATCCACCCATTCACACACACATTCTACAAAGTGTAGAAGTGCATCTTATGCGGGTCCTTATCATTGGTTTAACACTAAAGTGACTGTTCAGTGGTTTAAAAACAGTACTTTCCTGTTGTGCAATGTAGCAGCACACTTCAAAGTATTTTGTATCTATTGTTTTTAAAGACCAGGGTTTTGCATTTTACGTTGTTCTAAATTCAACTGTACAATAGTGTAAAAAAAGGCTGAAACAAACCTTTTTTTTTGTTATAAGGATTTGTGGTTTTTTTAAACAAGCTTAAATATTGCAACTGGCTTTGCTTTGCTGGAACTTGAAGTCAACTTGATGCTGAAGAACACTGATGTGACGCAGTTACTGGAAAACTTCAGACTTCTGGGAAAAAGAGAACCAAATTGTTACAGTTGCTGAATCAGTGTTTGTTTGCTTTTTTGTGTGTGTGCATGCTAATGTCTCTCTAAAGCACTTTGAATCACCTTGTTGTTGAATTGTGCTATACAAATAAATTTGCCTTGCCTTGCCTAACCTACATGTTAATTATTACTGCACGACTGCAAGAATGAGCAATTGTCTGAGTCACCTTTAAACATGTAAGTCCTTATCACTACAAGGGTAGTGATTAAATGTATATTACTATGTATGATAAAAATCTTATAGGTGTGTGTGTGTGTGTGTGTTTGTGTGTGTGAGTGAGTGTGTGTGGGCGCGCCAACACGTGACAACAATAACTACTTACTCAGGTGTTGTTAGGAAAACTGCACGGATGGATTTAGTGGCAGAAACACACACGGGCACAAGAGAGTTGTGATGCAAGTTTATCTACAATGATGGGGAATATTTACAAGGGAGGGGGCTATATACAGTGACAAATAAAAATGTGCAAGGAGAGCAAAGCCGAAGAGATGAGACAGAGCCAAGGTATGCGGGTGGGCAGATGACGCACCGGAGCTACCTGAAAACGAGGGACAAACAGAGTTTACGGAGTAACGTCGACAGCCGAGATTTAAACTAAAGTGGACGGAGAGAGTTGGAGAGCTTACTTGAAACACAAAACTACAGCTGTAGCAGTGATCACAGACTGGTGTAACGTAGCTCTCCGTCAGGGATCCACAGTAGCCAACACAAAGAAACTAGGCAGGCGAGCAGGCAGCGGAACAGGCTAAAACAAAGTAGAAGCAGGCAGAAGATGGATCGTAAAAACATGCAGCTCAATAGCGTGGAATCAGCAGATTCAGCTTGCACAAACACGTTACCACTTGTGACAGCGACAATACTCCGACACCAGACGTCCGTGACTCAGCTCCATAAAAGCGCTCACTGATGACGTCCGATGCGCCGCAGGTGTGCCGGAATGCCATCAAGCCCCGCCTCGCCTACCTATGCCAAAAATGGCCTGCATTTGTATAGCGCTTTTCTAGTCCATAGGACCCCAAAGCGCTTTACACTACATTCAGTCATTCACCCATTCACACACACATTCACACACTGGCGATGGCAAGCTACATTGTAGCCACAGCTGCCCTGGGGCGCACTGACAGAGGCGAGGCTGCCGGACACTGGCGCCACCGGGCCCTCTGACCACCACCAGTAGGCAAACACGGGGTTAGTATCTTGCCCAAGGATATTTGGCATGCAGCCAGGAGGCAGCCTGGGATCGAACCACCGACCTTCTGATTAGTGGCTGACCTGCTCTGCCACCTGAGCTACAGCCACCCCCCAAAAGGAAAACAAAAACCAAACAACAACAATACACCTACCCACCACCTCCTAACAGTATCCCCCCCTCAAGGAAAGCCTCCCGGCTGTCCTCCAGGCTTGTCAGGATGCCTCCTGTAAAAATCCACAATAAGACTCGTGTCCACAATAAAGGCCCCAGAGACCCAGGAGCGCTCCTCCGGGCCATACCCCTCCCAGTCCACCAGAAACTGGAAACCACGGCCACGACGGCGCACATCCAGCAGCCGCCGGACCGAATAGACAGGGCCACCGTCCACAACCCGGGCAGGCGGAGGAGGTTCCAAGGGTGGGCACAGCAGGCTGCGAGAGACAGGCTTGAGTTGAGAAACATGAAACGTGGGATGAACCTTCATGGAAGCCGGCAGTTGCAGCCTCACAGAAACAGGATTGATGATGCGTTGGATGGTGAAAGGACCCAGGAAGCGTGGAGCAAGCTTTCTGGACACATACTTCAGAGGAACATTTGCAGAGGACAGCCAAACCTGTTGGCCCACGGTGTATTGAGGCGCGGGCGTTCTCCTCCGATCAGCAGCCCGGCGAGTCTGAGGCACGGTCCGGAGCAGCGCTGCCTTAGTTCGGCGCCACATCCCCCGACTGCGACGTAAATGGTCCTGCACCGCCGGAACCGCAATCTCCGCCTCCTGAGAAGGAAACAATGGCGGCTGATATACCAGACATACCTCAAACGGAGAAAAACCAGTAGCTGCCGAGGTGAGGGAGTTATAAGCATATTCAATCCAAGCAAGATGACCACTCCAGGAAGCCGGGTCAGAGGAGGCCACACAGCGCAAGGCGGACTCCAGCTGCTGATTAGCCCTTTCAGTCTGTCCATCAGACTGCGGGTGATAGCCCGAGGAAAGGCTCACCCCCACCCCCAAAGCAGTACAAAAAGCCTTCCACACCCGAGAAACAAACTGAGGCCCCCTGTCAGACACAATGTCCAAAGGAATCCCATGCAACCGAAAAACGTGATCCACGAGCAAGTGAGCAGTTTCAAGGGCAGAAGGGAGCTTAGATAGAGGGACAAAATGCGCCACCTTGGAGAACCTGTCAACAATGGTGAGAATAACCGAGTGATTCGCGGAACGCGGTAACCCGGTAACAAAGTCAACCGCAATATGCGACCAAGGCCGACCTGGGACAGGCAAGGGGTGTAGCAGCCCGGGAGGAGCCAGGTGACGGCTCTTATTACGCGCACAGGTGTCGCAGGCTAACACATATTCGCGGGTGTCACTCTCCAAAGCGGGCCACCAAAAAGAGCGCCGCAACAGGGAAACCGTACGACGCACGCCAGGGTGACAAGCGAAGCAAGAAGTGTGTACCCAGTGCAAAACGCGCGCGCGCACGGCCGACGGAACAAACAACTTGCCAGGCGGGCCTGAACCAGGGTCCGGATCCAGCCGCTGCGCACGGCGCACCAGGCTCTCGATTTCCCACGTCACGGACCCCACCACGCAGGACGAGGGGATGATAGGAGCCACCCCCGCAGACTCAGACGCGGGAGAAAATTGACGGGACAAGGCGTCAGGCTTAGTATTGCGAGAACCAGGTCGAAAAGAGATAGTAAAATGGAACAGCTGCCACCTGGCCTACCTGGAGTTGAGCCGCTTTGTCCTCCGAATGTAAGAGAGATTTTTATGGTCCGTCTAAATCACAAAGGGCTGTTCCGCCCCCTTCAACCAGTGACGCCACTCTTCCGAAGCCAGCTTAACCGCCAGCAGCTCACGATTACCCACGTCATACTTCCGCTCAGCTGGAGAAAACCGCCGCGAAAAAACGCGCACGGATGGAGACGGTCATCGTCAGGCGAGCGCTGCGACAACACTGCTCCCGCACCCGCATCCGAAGCATCCACCTCCACAACAAACTGTCTGGTACCATCTGGGTGGGCGAGAACGGGCGCGGAGCAAAACAACTCCTTCAACCGAGCAAACGCCTGCTCGGCCTCAGGCGACCAACTGAAAACTCGAGCCGAGGACGTCAGCCGGGTAAGCGGAAGAGTGATCTGACTGAAGTTCTTAATAAATTTGCGATAAAAATCAGCAAACCCCAGAAACCTCTGCAGGTGTTTGCGCGAGGAAGGAGTCGGCCAATCAGCGATCGCTCTGATTTTACCAGGATCGGGCCCAACCCGCCCCTTAGCAAGAACATAGCCCAGGAACGACACAGAACTAGCATGAAACTCACACTTTTCTGCTTTCACAAAAAGTTTGTTTTCCAGAAGTCGCTGCAAAATGCTGAGCACCTGCTGAACATGGTCCTCAAAAGACCGCGAAAAAACAAGAATGTCATCCAAGTAAACGAACACACACCGATTCAAAAAGTCCCGAAGCACATCATTAATCAATGCTTGAAACACCGCCGGCGCATTCGTCAAACCGAAAGGCATTACCAGATATTCATAATGTCCATGGTGAGTGTTAAAGGCAGTCTTCCACTCATCTCCCTGGCGTATGCGCACCAGATGGTATGCATTGCGAAGGTCCAGTTTCGTAAAAATGACCGCGTCCTGTAAAGGTTCAAAAGCAGAAGAGATCAGGGAAAGAGGGTATTTGTTCTTCACATTTATATCATTAAGACTCCCGAAAATCAATGCAGGGTCGGAGAGATCCATCTTTCTTATCCACAAAGAAAAAACCCGCCGCCAACGGCGAAGACGACGGACGAATCAAGCCCACCTCCAGTGACTCCGTGATATACCTCTCCATGGCCGCCTTCTCCGGACCAGAGAGGTTATACAGCCGGCTGGTGGGCAAAGGAGCTCCAGGCAACAGTTCAATGCCACAATCATAAGGACGATGGGGGGGAAGCGAGAGCGCACAGCGTTTACTGAAAACCGCCCCCAGATCATGATACTGTTCAGAAGATCCAACTCCTCAGGCGCCAGCTTAGACGAGCAGATAGGCAAGGGCGGAAGAGCAGACTGTAAACAGTGAGACAAGCAGTGGCTACTCCAACTCTCAATGCGACGGGTGGACCAATTAATATGAGGATTATGACGCTCGAACCACGGGTAACCTAAAACAATGGGAGACTCTGTGGAGGAAAAAACAAAAAAACGAAGAAGCTCGCGATGATTACCAGAAAGAACCAATGAAACTGGTTCAGTCTCGTGAGTGACTGAGGGTAGTAACTGTCCGGTGAGAGCCACAACGGAGACTGGTACCTGCAGAGGCCGCGTCTGAATACCGAGATGCTGCGTGAGACCGGCGTCAATAAGGTTCTGCTCAGTGCCAGAATCCAAAAGTGCATTAGTGGAGAAAGTACCAGATGCGGTGTTCACGATAGTAGGAAGCTGCATGCGGGGAACTCGGGAAAGAGAGGAAGCGCTACCCACCAGTACCCCCACAGTTACTGGTGGGCACCGCCTTTTGACCGCAACGGGCAGGTGGACACAAAATGGCCCGACTGGCCACAATACAAACACAACCGCCCCTCAAACCTCCTCCGACGGTCCTCCGGAGTAAGCCGTGTACGACCCAACTGCATAGGCTCCTCAGCAGTGTGGCGAGCTCATCTTTCATGCAATCGTTTAACCCGATGATGAAAGCCCCGCGTGACGCACCCGCGGCCTTAACCCGGAAATCAATAGAAAACTCCGCCACCGACTGGCTCCCTTGCTGGAGCCCGTGCAGCTGCCGTGCGGCCTCATCAGAGTGCAGGGGGTGATGAAAAACAGCCTTAAAATCCCGAACGAACTGCATATACGTGACAGTCTCCAGGAGATGTAAAGCGAGATAAGACTCGGCCCAGTCCAAAGCACGATCACGAAGGGCACCGATAACATAGGAAATCTTAGAAGCATCATCGGAAAACGCTTGGGGAAACCGCTGAAAAAGCAGGGAAACCTGAATCGAAAAACTCCCGCAGCGGCCCAACTCTCCCGTGAAAGGCACCAGAGCCGGGGGAGCGGGGTCACGAACAGAGCCCGAACTCTGTGAAGCGGACGGTACGGGTGGGGGGGAAGAAACAGTGGGAACGGTTGGAGGAACTAACCAAGCTAAAGTCTCTTGAATGGCTGTCAGGGTCTCATTAACCTGGCCCGCCCATTGCTCGGATGCCTGAAACTGCCGAAACAAGCTTGACAAAGACTCCTCGTGTTTCTGGAGTAATTCGCCGGAAGCGGGACCTGCGCGTTCTGCCGAATCCATCAGAGTGGTCGGAGTATTCTGTTAGGAAAACTGCACGGATGGATTTAGTGGCAGAAACACACACGGGCACAAGAGAATTGTGATGCAAGTTTATCTATAATGATGGGGAATATTTACAAGGGAGGGGGCTATATACAGTGACAAATAAAAATGTGCAAGGAGAGCAAAGCCGAAGAGATGAGACAGAGCCAAGGTATGCGGGTGGGCAGATGACGCACCGGAGCTACCTGAAAACGAGGGACAAACAGAGTTTACGGAGTAACGTCGACAGCCGAGATTTAAACTAAAGTGGACGGAGAGAGTTGGAGAGCTTACTTGAAACACAAAACTACAGCTGTAGCAGTGATCACAGACTGGTGTAACGTAGCACTCCGTCGCGGATCCAGAATAGCCAACACAAAATCCTAGGTAGGCGGGCAGGCGATGGAACAGGCTAAGACAAAGAAAGAGGCAAATGGATCGTAAAACATGGCAGCTCAAAGCGTAAAATCAACAGATGCAGCCTGTGCTAACTCGTTACCACTTGTGACAGCGATAATACTCCGACACCAGACGTCCGTGACTCTGCTCCCTAAAAGCGCTCACTGATGACGTCCGATGCGCCGCAGGTGTGCCGGAATGCCATCAAGCCCCGCCTCGCCTACCTATGCCAAAAAGGAAAACAAAAACCAAACAACAACAATACACCTACCCACCACCTCCTAACAGGTGTGAGTTAATTGATTATGTTAAAGTGTCATACCTGCAGCAGGGTTTAATGAGACAATTAAAAGATGTGTAGGCAGATGAGTAAATAGAATGAAGAATATGCACTATATGTCTCCCATGGATCCCTTAAACATTGTAACCAACATATGTAATCATCTGGAAACAAAAATCTCATTGACAATAGATGTTTTTATGCAAACCTGTTTGCAAAGTCTGCCTGAAGTTACCACCACTTTACTTCGTGGTTTTTGTAATCTCGACTGAAATATCAGCTTCTTTGAAATTGAATGCCTTTCCCCCAATCCCTTCTAATTTACGGGAAATCTGATAAGACACGACAGCTGCAAACAGATATTCTGACTTATTGAGCAAGCAGAACTTGTGTAAAAGTTTCAGTGGTTTCTGTGAACCACAGAACCTATATCTCTATGATCATTTTTTCTCTCAGTGTGTCCTCACACAAACAAACCTATCACTGAGTCAAGTGCCTTATGCTCTTTCACAGACCACTATGTCACTTCTAGGTCATTATCATGCAAACCACTTCACTGAAATGTTTCATTTACAATAAATTGCCACAATTCTTGTCAGGTCACTTGTGGTAAAAGGTGGCTCTAGAGAGCACAGCTAGGGTTAAACCTGCAATAAACGGGAAACCACATGACATATAATTTAATCCCCCTCCAAAAGGAGATGTAGTCTTTGCAGTCACAGTAAGTCTGTTTAGCTTCCTTGGAAGAGGAAATACAAAAAAAAAAAAAAAAGTTTGATGTTGTTCTGAGGTGCTTTATCGTGAGTCTTCAATGACTTTCCACAAAGTAAATCTTCTAAATCCTCTGAAGTTCAAGACTTTTTCAGGCATTGGATTGAATCTGCTAAAATGAATGGATTTAAATATTGTTTTTTATAGGTATTATTTATAGAATGAATGTAGAATGGCTGAACTAAAAGAATAAACCTTGTCTTAATGTTTTAAGGGGTGGAAATTCCCCTAAAAGGAGCACTGTGCTTTTGAAAGTTCTCAAAGTTAAGTTTTTCTAAAAAGCTCCAGGTTCTGTACTGATTATCAGATGTTGGACTATGCTTATTGTCTCACCATCTGTGAGTGAACTGGTGGTTGCAAACCAGTTTTGTGTGTGCGAGGGGTGAAAGAGCATAACGTTGGTTTTATGCATCGGTTCCTGCAATCCAAATGAGGTTTTTCATTTCAGAGGCAAGAAAAGCAACCGTGACTTTACCACAGATTGTTTATGTATGAGTCATTTATGCATCATCTATTGTGAAAGGAAAAGTTGGTGAACTAATTTAATGATCCTAAAATTTGGGGGAAGAGTTTATCCATAGACTCAGCAGGTTTCCAAGGTGACCAGCTGGTCACATGAAAAGGAAGGCCAAAGAGTTGGATCCATAGCCTCAGTGTAAGGCTCTCTAGGAGTTAGTTTGTACTTTCTTTTTTTTTTTTTTTTTTTCTTTGTTTCTGTTGGGTATTTTTAGCCTCTGGGGTGTATTTTATTAAGATATTTGGCTAGTGTGCTCACAGATTTTTGGTAGACCAGTCTAACTGGAAGGCTGACTAAAAGATAAAAATTACACAACTCCCCATGTGTGATTTATGCCACTTCGGTAACAGTCAGTCACGTCTGCTTTGACTGAAGCCACAGCGCAACAACAAGCAGGTAAACATGGTTCATTGTTTGTGATTTGTTTGTTATGAGAGCATACAGCACTGTGATACAGCACTGAGGAATCTACTCAAGGAAATTATCCTGAGGTCAACGGAATAATTACGAGAAGAACACGGGCCCTGTTCCATACATAGTAACAGTATTTGAGCTTTGGTACTGTTTTTCACTGCGATGATTGTATGCAAGTGGAGGTTTCCTTAATCCGTCTTGTACCGCTCTAAGATTGTATTGTTACTCTCTTTGCAAAGTTTCCCAAATTAGATACTGTCACTTAGCAAGGGATTTTCTCTTATTTGAAAGAAAAAAGCCTTGATTTATGGTAGTGTTGCTTAAAATATACTGTAAAACTGATTCCTATGAACAGCAGTAACACATTGTAATGTGTGGTCATATTATGTGATACTTTTTTTTTGTCTTGTGTAAGTTTTTCATGTGTAACTTTGCTAAATAAGGGCCTTAATTTTCACATGCAGTCCATATAACTGACATACCAAGTGAAGTACAAATGTTGGGTGTGCCAATTCTGTTTGTCTTTTCTCTAAACTTTTGCATAGCATGCATCCTTTGCATAGAAGTAAGCTAACGAGTTCACACAGGCTGCTTTGAGTGCCTTCAAAATAACTGTCCACAGTTGTTATATTAATTCTCTTAGTTCTGCCATGTTTGTGCAGAGTTGTCCTGTCAACCTATGTGAAAAAAGAGTGTAACTATTACCTCCGAGCAACCGTAATGACATTGGTAACTTTAAAATGCATTTGGAACAATTGAATGTGTAAAAAAAAGGAGACTTTGCAGAAGTGAGATAGGAAAAAACATTACCTATTGTCTTTCAGGTTCTGCTGGCAGCCAGCTCAGTAGGGGCCTGTTACAACAGCATTGAGAAATTAGAGCGTTGATCTTATCTGCAAATTCCATCTATCACATGACATCTCTAAACATTTCATTTTATTATCAGCTTTGATGTGTTAAATTTAAATACATTTTAGATCACATTTTGGCTTTAGAGCTTCATCAAATTTGTCTTTATGAAACCTATCAAAACCAGTGCACATGTGGTGTTCTTGGTCAATATAACCTCCTGTTATCATTGTAGGCAATGTTGGGCCAAAAGCATGACATCCCACAAGATGTCAGTAAAGCCTCAGATATCTTATCGGCTTCACCAGAAAGTGTGCTTTTCACAAGAAGTGAATAGTTCTGCTTCTTTGCTCTTTAATGCACTGGCTCATAAATATAAATAATTGATTCTACAGAATTCATCATCATAATGTCAATACAAATGAAACATAAATATGTGGAAGTGCTAGACTATGACGGTACAGAGAGTGAAAGCACATCAATATGTATTTACAATTGTTTGTGAAACCTCAACAGTTTCTAACAGAAAGCGATGATATTTCCTGGGTGTGTATGCCAACGTGTCCTTTTTTCTTTTGCTGCTGTTAAATTTTACGGTAAACAACAACTCATCACTTTTACTTTCAGTTTGAAGTAAGAGTACAGAAACGGGGATTTTGAACACACTAATTTGTGTTTGGTTTTGTGGTTAGTGCCTTGGTCTCATTTCATGGGTTGTAAAACTTGCATTTCATGCTCTGCTCAGTTTTACTAAACAGTGACTGCAGACGAGGTTAAACTGGCCATGTTTTTGTATCCAGTGCTGAAGTGTACACCGAATGCTACTAACAATTACACATCTCTGTTTGCATGCCAAACCCTTACCTTGCTGTGGAGTCTTAAACCTAAAACTGGCCTTTGAAGGGGTGTGAAGGAACTGTCATCGCTCTGATGGTCTAAAAGTGTTTCTCACAAAAACAGGTGGACATGTTTTGTTTCTAGTGGTTTCCTATGACAAACTCCAGCTCACTGTCTGCTCTTTCACGCTATATCAAACATATAGTGAGCTTATCCGTTTAGCTGTCATCTTCTCAAAAGTGTCATAAAAGCCATGACATCTGAGAAAATGGGTTACAAAGTAGTTTAATGGGATGTGTGTTTTTCATTAAGTTCCATCTGTTTCCCACTTTACAAAAAAGACTGGGATCACCCTGGAATTTTCCCAAGTACACACAGAATTATTAGTTTTGTACACACTGTTAAATAGCTGCACATTGTACTATCATTCAGGACACATTTCTGACTCATTTTCCATCTGGACACAACACCCATCCTGCAGATGACTCTCCGAGCCGCAGAGCTGTCAATCACTTCCAGCTTTGGTTGTGGCTCCAGCTCTCTGGCCCTTTGCCGCGTCAGCTTACCATCACCTCCCCTCAGGCAGCAAAACCAATTAGTGCCTGATAGTAAAGCAGAGACCTTCTCTACAAACTTCTGAGCTCAGTTTTATTTTCTGTCTCTCTGTGGCCACAAAAACAATTTCCACCATTGACCCGAAGCATCAGAGGTCGAATGAAGAGATTTGCTAAGATATAATAATCTTTTCTTTGCTTCACTTTTTGTGGAAAAATAAGCTGTGGATGGTGGTTCTAAGAGACTCTGCTCGTATCCCTGTGTGCATTTTAAAGTTACTCTGCATGTCTTTAGAATCTGGGCGTGTTTGCATTGCAAAACTTTTTTCCTCCCAGTCTTCTTTATCAAGATGAAACCAAACAATAGCCCTTGTGAATCTGATGTCTTTATCAACATGCATTTGCATCTAAAAAGTGCTTTTTGTTTTCCTTGTGAATAATCATGGTGTGTTTTTTGCATTGGGCTGACAGGACAAGACTGGCTACTGCAAATGGTAACAAAAGGAAACATTGCCGTTTAATGTCTGTGGCTAGAGCATCTAATCATGAGTTCCCCACAACTCTTACTGAAACACTAAGCTGGTAATTAAGGCCAATCTATCACAGCACTTTGTGGAGTGATTTCAGTCACAAAAGCTTAAGAAGAGAGAAAGGATTTTTTGATCATCTGCATTAATATTTGTATTTTTCCCATTTTGCGTCACTTTGTATTTGACTGACAGACCGAGAGGCTTCAGGATGAGGAAGATGGCCAGTGCTTACAGATAAGGAGCCCTGGAGGTTATTCGGAGTATCTGGATATACTACATGTCAGCTTGGACATCCACACATTTGTCATTTTGGCAGCTCTATGGTAGGGAAAGATTCATAGTTATAGTTTGTAATAATGATGATAGCTTGAGAGAGGTCAAAGGTCAAATTTGTATACAGCAAATGGATCCTGCAGAATAAATATGTGGGCCAGGGATAACTAACATATACTGCCTGTAATAGCCATCAGACGTGACGAAAGCTGTTTTGGTTGCTCCCTTGGATC